GGGTGAAATCGAGAGAGGGGGAGAGAGAGCCCGAAGCCCTAAGCCCTAAGCCCTAAGCCCTAAACCCTAAACCCTAAACCCTAAACCCTAAACCCTAAACCCTAAACCCTAAACCCTAAACCCTAAACCCTAAACCCTAAACCCTAAACCCTAAACCCTAACCCTAAACCCTAAACCCTAAACAAACCCTGAAGGTGTCTGGAGCCCATCGGCGGAGATGACACCAAGCCCATTCTCGGCCTGCGCTGCTACCCTGAGGGGCCCTGAGGGGGCCCTGTCCGCGATCCCCCAGGGGGATTAGGGTTTAGGGCTTAGGGTTTAGGGTTTAGGGTTTAGGGTTTAGGGTTTAGGGCTAGGGTTCAGGGCGTAGGGTTTAGGGCGTAGGGGTGTAGAGCATGAAGGGCTTGAGAGGCATTTTGGGGTGGGCTTGTGCGGGTTTGTTAGGTGTTCTAACCCGGGGCGTCCGCGGCTCGTGATGTGCCAAGATGCTCCTTGTCTCCCTCTTTGTTCCATGGCAAAGCCCGGAACGAAGGAAAGGGTTTAGGGTTCAGGGTTCAGGGTTCAGGGTTTAGGGTTTAGGGTTTAGGGTTTAGGGTTCAGGAAGAAATAGCTAAAGCTGAAGCCCATTTTCTTTCGCGCAAAAGCGAAAAGACATGCTCCTGCTTGGGCAACAGCCACCCGGCGTGCTGAATTGTGAGAAAAAATCTCCCCCTTAGGGTCTACAGGGTTTAGGGCTGCGCGTTTTGCTCTGTAGTCATGTACATATATATGGGTGGTTGTCAAAACTATGGTCCCTTTTGGGGGTACCCTAAATATTAGGTGCCGTATTATAATAGGGATCCAAAAAGGGACAATGATTTTGACAACCACCCATATATATATATATATATATATGCTACCCCCCCCCTCCAAAACCTACCGTTTTCTAATTTTCTACACTTGCGTGACATCAAAACGCTTTAAAGATGAGACCGACTCCCTAAATCCTTTGACCTTATTCACACAATTTTCTGTTGCATAAACCCTCTTCCCAAAATCCTGCTCGCTAAATCCGAAAGCACGGGATTCCTACATCGTATTCCCTAAATCATATTCCCCCAGTCCCTAAATCTGGGGCGGGCGGGGGGGGGGTGGGTCACTAAATGGCTCACTAAATCTTCTCGCTAAATCCTAAAGGGTGGGATCCCTAAATCATATTCCCATGATTTTACTCCCTAAGTCTTTTCCCAAAGCCCTAAAGAGGGAAGTCTTGAAATTCTGAAGAGGAGAGCCTCTGAATTCTAAAAGATAATCACTACCTCCATTACGGGGGTTTCCGTATGGGGAAATACCGCCACAGTGAATGAATTTTTTCCGGGGGTGTTCAAAAATCTGTCTGCAGGCTTCGTTTTTGATTGCTGAGCTGCAGTCTGGATCGGCGAAACTACAATACATTCCTATTGTGCTTAATAGAGAATGCATACATTGCCATGGTCTCATTATTGCAGTGCCCTGCCTTTCTTATTGCGGTGGGGGGTCCCACCAATTAAACAGATGCTCGGATAAAATCTTATCGGGATCCCTAGATCTGGTTCCCTGAAATTAACTCCCTAAGGCCTAAAGGTGGGGGGCGGGGGAGGGGGGCTAAACCCTAAAGAGGAGATCCCCTAAATCCTAAAAAGCATTCCTTAGTTTTACTTTCTAAATCCTGTTGCTTAAGCCCTAAAGAGGGGTGTCCTAAAGAGGGGGATCCTTACTATAAATCTTAAAGACGAGCCTCTCCGTCTACATCATAAAACAAAGAACCTTACTCAGTAGATCTTATCGCTAAAGTCAACAAAGAAGGATCCCTCAATCTTATCCCTTAATTTCACTCCCTAAATCATATTGGGGAAGAGGGGTGGGAGGGAGTCACCAAATCCTAAAGAGGGAATCTTAAGTAGCCTTAAATCCCCAAAAATGAGACCCCCCCCTAACTCACACAAAAGCCAACCTTACTCAATAAATCTTCTCGCTAACGCTAAAGCTTTAGCGATAAGATTTGCGCCCCCTTAGAAAATAGGATTTGGGGACTAAGCTTTGGGATGCTCCCCACTTCAATGCCTATTCCCTAAATCCTTCTCGCTAAGTCCTAAAGAGCGGGCTCCCCTATAATGATGAAATATGTCCGATTCAAATTTGAATCGGCCGATTCAGTTTTGAATCGGCCCTCAAATTAAAGGTTGAAGTCGTCGTAGTGTTGCAATACTCACATGCATATTCATACTGTGTATTGGCTTTATATGTAGGTATGAGTTGGTACGTAATCTGTGTACTCACTCAATCTCCAACGCAACAAATTTGCTTATAAGGACTTAATTTGCTTCTAAATAGAAGGGGAGAGGGCGCCAGGGGTCGGTCTTCCAAAATAAGTAGGACCAAAAAACACTCCCCACCACACCCCCCCACTCCCCTCCACTTCACTCCACTGCGTGTTCTGGGTTTGTTTAAGGGTATTGTCAGGGCTTATTCTCCAAAACCCTATCGATCCAGGGTTTAGGATTCTAACGAGAAGCCCCAAAACCCCAAGCCTATAGGGTTAAGCAATTTAACCTCAACCCTTAATCTTTAAACACCCTATAGGGTTACGGTTTAAAGGTTTAGGATTTGAATTTCAGACATGTAAACCTTGACCTACAATTCAACGGAAACACGAAACCTTTAACCCTTGCAGGGTTAAGGTTTAAAGGTATAGGGTTTAAGACATGGGCACTCTAAACCCCTATCGATCCAGGATTTAGAGTTTTAAAGAAAAGCCCCGAAACCCTATAGGATTAAACAAATAAGCCCAATTCTTTAACCTTTAAACCCTGTAGGATTAAGATTTAAAGGTTTAGGGCTTAAGATATAGGCATTTAAATCTTGACCTGCAAATACACCGAAACCCTTAAACTTTAAGCGTTAGTTCAAGGTCTAGAATTTAAGATATATGTATTTAAACCTTGACGTGTAATTAAACGAAACTTGCAACCTGGAAACTTTATAGGGTTAAGGTTTAAAGGTTTAGGGTTTAAGATATATGATTTTGAACCTAAGCCTGCAATTAAGTTGAAACACATAACCTTTAAACCCTATAGGGTTAAGATTTAAAGGTCCCGGGCTTAGCGTTTTATAGAGAAGCCCCAAAACCCATATAGGATTACAATTACCCTAAACGCGCACGCAACCTTCATGTTGACGGCCGACATGAGGAGTATGCTATGGCTGGAAACTGCGCGTTTATAGCCCAAGCTGCGCGTCGAAATTGTGCACATATAATGGAACCACTTTCAATGCTTCAATATATAATACCATGGCCTAGAGTTTTGTAAGATGTTTTTTAACCATAAGAAAAATCTTCAGGACCGGGCGTTTTAAAACTCCTTGCTTAGCCACAAGAGGAGTTTTAAAACTCCTGCCACCGAAGATTGAAGATTGAAGATGTCTCAGGACTCTTTGTGGGAATCTTCAATCTCAAGTAGTCGGGGCCGGGAGTTTTAAAACTCCTTGCTTAGCCACAAGAGGAGTTTTAAAACTCATGCCGCCGAAGATTGAAGATTGAAGATTCCTGGAAAGAGTTCTGGAGAATCTTCAATCTTCAATCTTCGGGGCCACGAGTTTTAAAACTCCTTGCTTAGCCACAAGAGGAGTTTTAAAACTCCCTGCCCCTAAGATTGAAGATTGAAGATTCCTGGAAAGAGTTCTGGGGAATCTTCAATCTTCAATCTTCGGGGCCACGAGTTTTAAAACTCCTTGCTTAGCCACAAGAAGAGTTTTAAAACTCCTGGCCCTGGAGATTTTTTATTGGAGTCTCTAAGTATTTAATATTTCGTATCGGATGTATATATATATATATATATACATCCGGCTTCGAATATCATAAACATAACGTCTCGACATAGAAAAGGGTATGAAAAGGTAGGTTTTGAGGGGGGGGGTACCATATATATATATGTATCCATCTTGAAGAGACTCTGACCCCTAAACCTGAATACCCGAAACCCTACACCCTGAACCCCCAAACCCTAAACCTTAAACCCCAAACCCCTAGTCAAACCCTAAACCCTAAACACTGTGGAGTTTCTTTCAGAGGCTTCGAGAGGGACCAACCTAAGTCGACCGTGCCTTGGAAGATCTTTGAAAGCCCCGGGACCCGAAGTTCCGCCCTTGTTCAACCAGGGTTTAGGGTTTAGGGCTAGGGTTTAGGGTTGAGGAGTCAGAATGGTTTAGGGTTGAGGAGTCAGAATGAGTAGGGGTTCAGGGTTTACGGGCTCTAGGCGTCTGGTTTGTCCTTGAGATGACTCTGCACGTGTGCACAGCCACCGGCTCCAAACCAACAGAGACCTGTGTGCAAGTAAAGAGGTGCATTCTAGCAGGCTGCTGCTGCACATCCTTGAAACCCTAAACCCTAAACCGCCTAAACCTAAACCCTAAACCCTTGAAACCCTAAACCCTAAACCCTTAAAGCCCTAAACCCTTGAAGCCCTTAAACCTCTAAACCCTTGAAACCCCTAAAACCCCCTAACCCCTTAACCCCCAAACCCCAAACCCTAAACCCTGGAAACCCTAAACCCTTAAAGCCCTTAAACCTCTAAACCCTTAAACCTCTAAACCCTTGAAACCCCTAAACCCCTTAACCCCCTTAACCCCCCCCCTTTTCAGCTGCCGGATGGCCCGTCTCCGGAATGTCGGCTCAGTGCAGGTGCTGCGGGGGATGATCATTTGGGGCCGTCGGACTTAGGGGGGTTTTGAGGAGATCGGGGGCTTCCCTAGCCTAGACTCAAGCCCCACAAATTTAGGACTGAGGGCTTGGGGTTTGGGGTGTAGGGTTTAGGGTTTAGGGTTTAGGGTTTAGGGTTTAGGGTTTAGGGTTTAGGGTTTAGGGTTTATCTTAGGGTTCAGGGTTTAGGGTCTGGCGGAGGCATGTCAGAGTTTCGAGCGAGCTCGGTACAGTCAGGGTCGAGGGTTGAGGGTAAGAGGTTGAGCAGTTGGAGCATGGAAAGATGATGCTTGTTGTTTTTTTTTGGGGGGAAGGGGGTAAAGCAAAGATCCTTTTTGTTCACGAAGCGAAGCTTTACAAACCTCACTCGCAAATACCCCGAAAACAGAGAGAAGAGTAGGACATTATGTGGTGTATCGACTCCTCTACTACCTAAACTCTAAACCCCAGATGCTGCAAACCTGAGTTTAAAAATAAACCCTGTGGTTCATGGTCCGTGGTTCATGGGTTTGTGGTTTAAGGGTTTAGGGTTAGGTTGTAGAGTTCAGGATTGTCACTCTGGTCCATTGGTTCATTGTGGGTTTAGAGTTCAATCAGGGTTCAAGGTTTGGGGTAATGGTAGGTTTACGGTTTCCCCTCTCCCCCCTGTGGTTCGTGCTGAGTTTACGCTTCAGGGTTCAGGGTTAAAGCGGCTAAGGTTTCGGGTTTACCCTTCTCCCTCCTGTCGTTCATTGGGTTTAGGTTTTAGGTTTTAGGGCTTAGGGTTCAGGGTGTGGGGTTTAGGCTGAGGTTTCTCTGTCCTCCCCCGTGGTCCGTGGTGTTTTTAGGGTTAACAGGCAGGGTTTGGGGGGGGGGGGGGGGGGATACCATGGGGGGGGGGGGGGGGGGGGGTCGATTACGCGCAATGCAGGCGCATATACGCCCGAGAAACCCCATGAATGCTACAAACTCCCTATACCCCATCAACCCTGTACTATGAACCTCTAAATAAACCCCAAACCCAAACCCCAACCCCAAACCCCAAACCCTAAACCCTAAACCCTACCCGCCGGGGGGGGGGGGGGGGGGTTGTCCCTCTTAAGGCAAACCGGGCCCGGATGTGCGGAGGCGCTCTGCGACCGGGGCCTCTTCCGGGCCGCCTCTGCACTGCAGATCCTGGGCGGCCTCGGGGAGGTCTTCGCCGAGGCCAGAGGGTTTAGGGTTTAGGGTTTAGGGTTCAGGGTTTAGGGTTTAGGGTCCAGGGTTTAGGGTTTAGGGTTTGGGGTGTTGGCTTCGGGGGCTCACGGCTTTCGTTGTGTTTTTGTGGGGATTGTGAGCTCTGCGGTCTTTCGTCTTTGTGGGATCATAAGGTTTAGGCTGGGCTTTGGAGCTTACCTTAGGACTTGCCAGGTGTTCTTGCCTAGTGCTGCTGGTAGCGTTTGTGGCTGTTAGGACTCAGAGCACTTGGGGCTAACAAAGGGCGATTCGGACTAAGGGTTCTGGGGTGTTCGGGCGGGCTTGGAAGAATGACCCGAACGGTTATTAGCAAATCGTCAAGCCAGGAAGCCGCCTGCCGAACTCTGAAACCCTAAAGCCCCAAAAGCCGCAACAACCGAAACCCCTAAACCCCCAAACCCCTGACCCCGAAGCCCCGAACCCCCTACATCCCAACATGCACAAGAGTGCCAGGGATACAGTCTGCGAAGCACTCCCCAGCACTTTGGACACCCCGGATTTCTGTCAAGCTTGTGGTTGTTTTGTGCTTTGGACCCGGTTCGAATATCATGAATGCACCCCGAAAACAGCCCGAAGCCACTAAGTGCTTGAGCGATTACTAGAGGGGGAATCCGGTCCACTCGCCTCGGAAGACCCCCTAAACCCTAAACCCTGAACCCTAAACCCTAAACCCGCCATGTTTTTGCAGGGGCTTACTGGCATAATTGGTGCTGCCGAGGCACCGAGTGAGGTGGGGCTGCATTTATCCTTGGAAAGTCAGAAGATATGGGGGGGTTTCCGAAAATAGGGGGTACCCTGTGTTGGGGCTCCTTTATTAAAAGGATTGTATAGTATTTTGGGGTAGAGAAGCGGGGTACCCTATTTTCGGAAATCCCCCGCATATTTGCTCTAGAACCCTGAGAAGAAACCGCACTCTAGGACAAGCTGCCTGCTGAAGGGTGGGCCCGGTACGCGCTTTCGAAGTTTGTCCACCAACCACTCGACAGCATGTCACATCCATGATCGGTCGCTTCGGCAAGTCAGGTTGATGCCAGTGCAGGCGATGGCGCCTTTGGCGGCACGGAGTGCGTCAGCCATGTGGAGGCGGGCGGAAGTGCTAAAAGCTGTATGAAAAAAAACAACATCAGCACCCAACACAGGTTTAGGTAGAAGAAGTTCTAACTATTGTCGATGCAGCCACAAGGATTCAGGGCTGTGCCATGGCTGTACGACTTCGTTTTTTTTTGCGACTCCACTCCATGTGTTGCTTCAAGCCGCTAGGTTGGCATGTTCCCCTTATACCAGCAGCCCTTACTAGGTTTTTACCCCCTAGCATACTCCTTACTAGGGATTAGAGTACCCCCATTATAATCCCTATCAAGGATTGTTGGTTTTAGTGTGACCATCCCAACCGCTAGGTGTTCATTAGCCACACCTGGAGCTCCGCACGATGGCCCAAGTGACTTGGGATGTTGATGTGCGTTACGTTTCCTCACGATGACAGGGTTTTGGGTTACGAGTTTAGGGTTTAGGGCTTAAGGTTTAGAGTTTGGTGGGGTGCAGATCATGCCTTTCCCCGATGTCGTATCGATGTGCAGCAAGCTCTGTGCGGTTGACTTACCTTAGCTCCGTAGCGCTTCATAGAGAATTCGGGAACTAGGCGATTCATATCTCCATATGTCCCCCTAGATAACCTTTCAGGGAGCATGTAGGGTACCCAAGGCCCTAAAACCTCACAGTATTGTGTCTTTGTCCCACCGTCAGAAGTAGGGTTGGTTCGAAGCCAGTGAGGTTAGAAGCCTAGAGTCCCGCTGCTCGCCTGTCGGGCTCAATCTTGACCCTAAACACTAAACGCTAAACCCTAACCGCTCGAAAGGCAAGGAAAACTAAGTGATTTCCGGATCCCTTCCCCTCCCTAAACGCTCTTTCCTAAGGCATAGTCCTAAACCACTTCAATCCTATGCCCGAACCACTCTTGCCCGCCTTAAGCCCTAAACTCTAAAACCTAAGCCCCAAGCCCTACATGCGTTTGCCCTTGCCCTCCAAGGTAAGACCCTAAAACCCGAAGCCCTACATGTTTTTTGCCCTTACGCCCTAAAGACCCTAAAGCCATCCTGGCGCCCCATACCCTCGACCCTACTTGGAGGTTCATGGCACTTATAAACCAACGATAACTGTACTTCTAACCCACTTATGTGCCCCCTAAACCCTAAACCCTAAACCCGAAATGCCCTCAGTAGCCCTAAACCCTAAACCCTAAACCCTAAACCCTAAACCCTAAACCCTCCAGCCCTTTCCCCAAGGTACCTAAGCATGTGCTACTTTCTCAACGTGACCCTGGCCGTGAAGGCGGCCTGGGGGAGCTACGCGCTGGGCGTCGGCGTCCTTCTCATCCTTGAGGCTGCCAAGCAAGAGGGTTTAGGGATTAGGGTTTAGGGTTTAGGGGTTAGGGGTTAGGGGTTTAGGGTTTAGGGTTTAGGGTTTATAGGGTTTATAGGGTTTATAGGGTTTAGGGTTTAAAGGATGCCAGGGTTTAGGGGAATCTAGAGGAATAAATTTAATAAAGGGCGGACTGGTATGGGACCCTATGTTTCTGCTGGGTTTTGGAGTACTATCCTTTACTACTTGTTTTTGGCTCTGGGTTCCTATTATAGCTACTTACCTAAAAAGCGTATAGGCCAAAGTATCACCTACCCACCCCCAGAAGAGTAGGGCGCACGTAGTGTAGGAGACCATACTTTCGGTGACGTTTGGGGAGCTTGGGCCTGGGACATGTAGGACTTGAGGTCCGGCTGGTTTGGGATTTCGTTCTGGTGAGGGGCACGTTGTGCAAAAATCGTGGTTGTTGACCAACTGAGGGTTCAGGGTTTAGGGCCTAGGGTTTAGGGCTTCTGGCTTTCCCAGAGCGCCGTGCTTTCTTCAAGCTACTCGCGCAAGAATCAAGCCCTCCAACGTCACCATGTCAAGACCACGAACCTCCATAGCCTGGAGAGCTCCAAAAGCCCAACTGCTTTATGAACCCTGAACCCTAAACCCTAAACCCTAAACCCACTGCAAAGATCATTTTTCACAGATTTGTTTATCTCTGCTTCGAGGCGACCGTGTCGCTGTGGGCTCCCTCAGACCAGGCCGAGGTGGCTTTGGTAGGGCTTGGGGCTTAGGGCTTAGGGTTTAGGGTTTAGGGCTTAGGGCTTAGGGTTTCGGGCTTGGGGCTTGGGGCTTGGGGCTTGGGGCTTGGGGCTTGGGGTTGAGGGCCTTAAAGAAGTCTTTGTTTGAGCCTAGAGAGAGGGCCCTCGAGGCCTCTAGACTTCATCTTGCGACCCTAAACCCTAAACCCTAAACCCTAAACCCTAAACCCTAAACCCTAAACCCTAAACCCTAAACCCTAAACCCTAAACCCTAAACCTTCGAGACCCTTGAAGCCCTAAAGCCCGAGTTCTTCAAAGCCTCAGTGTTCAGAACCCTCGGATGAAAAGGCGAACGTGAAAGCGCACCTTTGCGACCGGAAGTACCTCTTTCTTTTCTTCACGGAGCTTCCGGTCCTGGTGTTCTTCGTGTTCTTCTTCTTTGGCCAGCACATATCTGCAAGCTTCTTGTCTATGAGGGTTAGAGGGTTGAGGGGTAAGCCCTAAACCCTAAACCCTAAACCCTAAACCCTAATAAGGGGTTTAGGGTGTAGGGTTCAGAGTTTTGGGATCCAGAAGACCCTTAAAGCCCGTAAAGCCCTCACAAGCCAGCAACTTTTGTTAGACCCCAGAGCCCGCATGGGCCATTGCAAGTTTGGGTTTAGGGTTTAGGGTTTAGGGTTTAGGGTTTAGGGTTTAGGGTTTAGGGTTTAGGGTTTAGGGTTCAGGGTTTAGGGTTTAGGGTTTAGGGTTTAGGGTTTAGGGTTTAGGGTTTAGGGTTTTGCAACCGTAAACACTTCTAGGCCTCTATGAAGCCTGGTACCCCTTAAAAACCTCAGAAGCACGTAGCCCGAAACCTCTATAAACCTCCCAAACCCCCCCAAACCCCCAAAGCCCAAAAACACCCAAACCCGGAGCCCAAGACCCTAAACCCCACACAGCCCCGCAAACTCCAAGCCTCTGAATCTTAAACCTTCAACCCTACATAAACTACAAACCCCCTGAAAGCCTTAAACCCCCAAGCCCAAAACCACACAACCCTAAACCCTGAACCCTACACCCGAAACCCCAAACCCTCAACCCTCAACCCTAAACCCTAAACCCTAAACCCTAAACCCTAAACCCTAAACCCTAAACCCTAAACCCTAAACCCTAAACCCTAAACCCTAAACCCTAAACCCCAGGCTGCTGGGCACCATCCCTCTGGCTTGACAAGCTCTGCGTCCACCAGACGAACCAGAGCCTCAAGGTGCCAGCAAGAGGGGTGCAGGGTGGAGGGTCTAGGGTAAGGGTTCCTAAACCCAACCCTAAACCCTAAACCCTAAACCCTAAACCGTAAACCCTAAACCCTAAACCCTAAACCAAACGCCAAACCCCAAACCGCCTGCAGTGCAGGCGCAGCAGGTAGCAGCGCTGCCTGTCTTCGTGGCCCGGTCCGCAAGGACTTGGCTTGCTTTGGGGTAGGGTTTAGGGTTTGGGGTTGAAGGTTTAGGGTTTAGGGTCTAGGGTTTAGCGTTTTGAGTTTTGCGTTTTGCGTTTAGGGTTTAGGTTTTAGGGTTCAGGGTTTAGGGCCGTTTGGGGTTGGGGTTTGGGGCTGGGAAGCTCGCTGTGGGTTCGAAGTTGAGGGTTAGGGGCAGGGACCCTAAACCCTAAACCCTAAACCCTAATTAAACCCGAAACCCTAGACCCTAAACCCTAAGCGCCTGAAACCCCCTGAGACTGAGAAACCCCAAGAGACCCCTCAACCCTCGAGCCTTAAAGCCTCCCAGCTCGCTCCGCGTGAGAGGATGCTGGTCTTGTGGGACGACACTTACTTCGAGAGGTGCCCCACACCTAAGAGAGCCCTCACAAGCACAGATCTAGGGTTGGAGCCATAGGCCCTGAATACGGTCCCTTACCCTTGTTTAAAGGGATTTAGAATTTAAAGGGATCCGAAGTATGGGCCCTTTGTTATGTACAGTGTATGACAATTGAGGCCGATGACTTCGGATCACCTAACACGGGGAAATTTCCGTGAACCAGGGTTTTCAGTGTTGGGTTTGGGAGCAGGGATCCATATTGAGTTTAGGGCTTGGGTACCTGTAACCTACTAAGGGATCCATACTACGTTTGAATTTAAGGCCTCTTCCTCCATGAAGGGCTACTGTATGGGACTGCAGCCGACTCCTACATCCAAGCCAGCCCCTGCACCGAACGAGACCTTCCTCAAGCCCCAAAAAGCCTATGAAAACGATGCATCAAACCCGATAAACACCCTATTGTGTCTTTACATAAACCTTCGTAAAAAACGAATGCATAATATAAACCCAACATCAAACCCATAGTACAAAACCCATCCTATACACCCATCTTATAAAGCCCTATGCCAACCCTACGTGAAGCAGGGTTTACATTACATTACTGTTATTGGTGAGTGTATATATTGGGTGTCCTTTTTGGGGGGTACAAGAAATACATACCCTACTTCATATCATCTCATCCATGACTCCTATTCTACGGCTAAACCCTAAACCCTAAACCCTAAACCCTAAACCCTAAACCCTAAACCCTAAACCCTAAACCCTAAACCCTAAACCTTCACGTAAAGCAGCACCCGCGGAAGGTTGTGGTGCAACATGGAGATGGCCACCTTCGCGAAGTACGCGGCGAGCCCGGAGAAGGTGCCCAGTGGTGCTTGGGCGATGGGTTTTGGGTGGGGGGGGGGTTTTGGGGGTTTAGGGCTTAGGGCCTTTTCGGGCTTAGGGCTTAGGGGCTTAGGGCTCAGGGCTTGGGGCTTAGACTACAAATCGGCTCAGGGTTTAAGGTTTGGGTTTAGGATTCTTTTGAAGGTTTTGTAGGTGTTCTATGTATTCTGATGTCTCCACCTTTCCCAACACAACAGAAGCACCCCTAAACCCTAAGCCCTAAACCCTAACCCCTAACCCCCCAAACCCCTAAACCCCTAAACCCCAAATTCTCGTTGAGACACGCCTGCCAGATGGAGTTCCTCCCGCTGTGGCTTGCTCCATGGCTGCTGTCTTCCATATTGCTGGATTTGCTTGGCGTCACCTTCGTTTGCTCCTTTCAGAAGCTGAACACCTTCCAGAACGAAGCACAAGTGCAGCTAGGATGCCCATTACTACCCTTGGTTCCTTTTTTTGGGGTGGTTAGGTTCCCTTATAAACCCCTTTAAACAAAAAAGGGAAGCCTACTTCATCCTATAGGTTACTGGGCAACCTAGGCAGGATCTGGCGCACATGGGAGCGGCGTTTTTCGGCGGCTCGCCGCACGTCCGCCAGTTCATCCACATGTTCTTCGAGGTCTTCCCAAACTTCTTGTGCTACCTCCCAGTGGCTCTACCCACGATGCTCTCGTTCAAGCGGAAGATTCTTGGTATCCCAGTGGTGCCTTTACCCTTTTTTTTGGGGGGTTCGGGGTTCCCTTCGAAAGGTAACCAACCCCAAAAAAGGTCGCCCTTATCATCTGGGTTTTGGAGTACTATACTGTAATATTAATTGATGTGGTTCTGGGTTCCGATTATAGCTACTTCTACCTAAAAAGTAATATACTTTTGTTTCTCCCGGATCTACTCCAAAGTAGGGTTATGATGAGATGGTTCCTGGGCTAAATACCAAGGATCCAAGGGCACCGGCTGATGCTGGAGCAGATGGCCAGCTTTGACTTGACGCTCGGCTCTGCAGTCGCAGGCCGTTGGCTGAAGTTATAGTGAGACGTCTGCAGTTGTTTTCTGGGGTTAGGGTTTAGGGTTGAGGGTGAGGGTTTAGGGTTTAGGGTTTAGGGTTTAGGGTTTTGGGATGTTAAGGGATGTGGTTTAGAGTTTCCAAGGGGTTTTCAGGGGGCCACCGCAACCCGCAGCCCTAAGGAAGAAGGCCAAGTGCTCCGTGGAAGCTGACCGGCCCTTGGTGGAAGAGCAGGTGGCCCCAAGGGTTTAGGGTTTAGGGTTTAGGTTTTAGGGTCTAGGTTTAGGGTTTAGGCTTTAGGCTTTAGGCTTTAGGCTTTAGGCTTTAGGCTTTGGGGTTTAGGGTTTAGGATTTAGGGTTAACCCGCCCGTCGCCCCCACCCCCTGTTTTCCGGCTCCGTTCGAGACGAACACAAAGCAACACCAGAGCAGCATCCCAAAACCCGAAACCCCAAACCCCAAACCCTAAACCCCAAAAGCCTAATCCCCGAAGCCTCTGGGGCCACCCGCTCTTGCCAAACAGGTGGCTCTGCACTTCCAAGCAGAGAAGGATTTCGAAGTCATCGTCGCAGGGGCGACGGACCCTGCGCCGGAGCGCGTCGAAGCTGTGGACCCGCCACCTGGACGGCAGAGCTTCGACCATCGTGCCGCTCTCTAAGGGTAGTTACATGGCACGGTCCCGTGATATTGGGGTTTAGGGTTTAGGGTTTAGGGTTTAGGGTTTAGGGTTTAGGGTTTAGGGTTTAGGGTTTAGGGTTTAGGGTAGTAGTTACATGGTCCCTTAGTCTGGGCCCTTAGAAAGGGTACCCCTTACATACCCCCTATTTACCCTGTACAAAAGAAGGGCCCATACATCAGAACTCTTTAAGGGGGACCATACCAAGGGTTTAGGGTTTAGGGTTTAGGGTTTAGGGTTTTAGGGTTTAGGGTTTAGGGTTTAGGGTTTAGGGTTTAGGGTGCCCATGAAACTACCCTCGGCAGTTCTGGGTCCCTTGATGTGATCCCTTGCCTTCTCTAAAGGCTTCTGAAATGACAAAAAGGGGGTTCCCATGTCAGGGCCCCTACCAGGGGTTTAGGGTTTAGGGTTTAGGGTTTAGGGTTTAGGGTTTAGGGTTTAGGGTTTAGGGTTTAGGGTTTAGGGGGACCTTGTAGCGAAACCCTAAGATGGGTGCTGATGTTTTGAACATCAGCTGCTTGGGACGTCCTCATCGTTGTAACTTGGGGGTTCTTCTTGGGATGCTCCCCCTTGTACTAACAGTCCTGAATGGGATTCTATTGGTGGGGTACAAGATCCGAGCCCCGCACGCCCAAACCCTAAAGCACTAAAACCCTAAACCCTAAACCCTAAACCCTAAACCCTAAACCCTAAACCCTAAACCCTAAACCCTAAACCCTAAACCCTAAACCCTAAACCCTAAACCCCAAGTGCGCCAGGCGTGAGGAGGCGATCGAAAGGTTCAACAACTACGTCCAGGGCCCGCTGCGGGCGGCATGCTTGGACAGCATCGGGGATGAGCAGGACCTTTGCTAAGGGGTCGGAATAATTTTAGGGGGCTAGGGGTTGGGGTTTAGGGTTTAGGGTTTAGGGTTTAGGGTTTAGGGTTTAGGGTTTAGGGTTTAGGGTTTAGGGTTTAGGGTTTAGGGTTTAGGGTTTAGGGTTTAGGGTTTAGGGTTTAGGGTTTAGGGTTTAGGGTTTAGGGTTACTAACAGTATTCCCTTATGGCCCCTTTATAAGTATACTGGAATAACCCCCGGAAAAAATAAACCTATTCTAACCATTGAGGCCCCTATAGTACATGGGTTTAATTTGTGGTTTCCATGATTTCAAACGAGGGCAAAGAGTGCAGGGAGTCGCGTTGGCTGGATGATGCCCAAATAGTCCTTTCGCCCTGCAAAAGAAACCTACTACAAACTGTTCCCCACGCCACGCACCCCAACAATGCTCAGCCGAAGAACGTGCCACTGCACCTTTGCTACGTCTGCTTCCTGCCCATGTCCTTCTACGCTGCAGTCAACGTCACTCGGCCATAAGAGGGCTCTTGGTCCGCATGCTACTTCCACGGTGTATACCTCTCAAGGAGCCCAAGGACATGCCCCCGAACCCCAAAACCCCCAACCCCTAAACTTTTCATTCCCATGTCATCCCTTCACAAACCCTAAGCCCTAGACCCTGCCCGAAACCCCCTAAACCCCCTAAACCCTAAACAGCCATCCTTCGCTTACGCTGTAGGCAATGCAATGCTGTCTGCAAGAAGAGCTGGCCAGGGGTTGGTTTGGTTTTTTTGGTACACAAGAATCCCTACTTAATCCTTATAAAGCCATAAAAATGGAACGTTTATAGGGCCCCAAACCTACCCCTTAGTGACATATAAAGCTCAGTGGCCTTTCTGGACTTCTGGGGCTCGTTTCTTGGATTTCCCCAAGCCATCGTGCGTTAGATGCCCGAATGCCCTAAGCCCCCAAACCCTCGAGAGCGACCCTAAGCCCTAAACGCTAAACCCTAAACCCTAAACCCTACACCCTAAACCCTAGACCTTCGCGCTTGCGAAGGCCACCCCGTATGCCTACAGGGAATGCACCTTGACGTTCGACACCATGGGCTACTCCAGCCCATATCACCTGGTGGCCACCTTCTCCCTTTGAATCTCGGGCCATATTCATTAGTAGGGCCTTAGGGTTTTAGGGTTTAGGGTTTAGGGTTTAGGTATTAGGGTTTAGGGTTTTGGGTTTATTTCCTCGTCCTTCTCCCTTTGAATCTTGGGCCAATTATTGGGGGATCCGAGGTATGGGTCCTTAATTTGGGTCCCTTGCTATATCACCCTATACACCATTCATGATAAGGGCCTTATTGGGGCCTCTTGTTATCAGGGAATCCTACTCTTTGGGGTCTATTTTGGGGGCCCCTTATGGTCGTAAACCCCCCATATCCTGGAGACCTGTTTTGGCGTTTGTTCTGGTTTCAGAGTGTTTGGGTTTGAGGTTTGAGGTTCGAGGTTTGAGGTTTAGGGTTTAGGGTTCAGGGTTTAGGGTTTAGGGTTTAGGGTTTAGGGAGAGGTTCTCTTAGGCGTATCGCGTTCAGGGTGGGCTGTATATCTGAACGCCGCGCGTTGCCCGCCTTTGCCCGGCCCAGTTGGCAGAGGCTTGTAGAGTCTACAGGGCCTTTTCGAGTCGGCTCATGTGGGGGTTGAGGGTTCCTATAGTAAGGAGTATAATAATAATAATAATAATAATAATAATAATATATATATATATATATATATTATATTATATTATGTTATGTTATATTATATTATATTATATTATATATATATATATATATATTATAGGGGGGAACCTTATTTGGGTATTTTCATGCAGGCCTGTGGAGCTCTGAGAGCCGGAAGCTCCGTCCCAGCCAGTGGTCACCAAAGTTTTTTTGGGGGGGTTCCTGGGTTCCCTTATCAAGGTAACCAACCCCACAAAAGGGTACCCTCACTATTATGATTATTATTTATTATTATTATTATGATTTTTATTCATTATTATTGTTATTATTATTTATTAGTTATTATTTATTATTATTATTTATTATTATTATTATTCATTATGATTATTATTAAGCGTAAGCTCCGCTTCCGGCAGGCTTGTGGGGTAGCTCTGGAACCATAAGCCCGGTCCCTCTGCCTTGTGGCGGTTTGCAAGTGCCCAAAAGATCCCACACCCATCTCTGAACAACTGGTAGCCCACTGGAACCCTGTAGCCTTTTGTTGGGTTCCGAGGGTAACCAACCCAAAAAAAATGGCACAGTTATTCTGAGATGGTTGCTGGTTTACCAAGGCAACCCTGGACTTCCCCGAAACCCTAAACCCTATACCCTTAAACCCTAAACCCTATTGTCGTTGAAACCCGAACCCCCCTCAAACCCTGAACTTTGGCCGTCTCAACCACGCTGATGTCCCTGAATCCCCGGCCCCTTCCCCCACCCCCTTTCTTCAAGCCCGGGTTTAGCGTTTAGGGTTTAGGGTTTAGGACCTAGGACCTAGGATGCTTGAAATCCCTCGACCCATCGCAAGGCTGGCTTTCCACACAGCTGCTCGTCTTCCCCGTGACCTTTCCGGCGCCTCGGGTGGAAATACAACCTATAAGCCTATAACCCTATAACCCTAAACCCGAAACCCTAAACCCTATAACCCTATAACCCTAAGCCCTATAACCATAGAACCCTAAACCCTGAACCTCTATAGCCCGATAACCCTAAAACCCCAGGCCCTATACCCATACGAACCGCTATCACCCTTATAAACCCCTACAAACCCCCTATTACCCTATAGCCCTGAACCCCATAAAACCCTAACACCCTAAGCATGAAACCCTAAAACCCTAAAACGCCATAACCCTATAACCCTATAACCCTATAACCCTATAACCCTATAACCCTATAACCCTATAACCCTATAACCCTATAACCCTATAACCCAGCCTAAACCCAAGAAGACCCTCAGCCCTCAGCCCGACGTTTGGTCACTTTGCTCTTTCAAGGTACTAACCTTGAGCTCTAAACCCTAAACCCTAAGCTTATAACCCTAAACCCTTATCCCTAAACCCCTGGATTTTCCAAGTTCAGTAAGCCCTAAACCCTAAACCCTAAACCCTATAACCCGAAACCCTAAGCCCTAAACCCCTGGGGTTCCAAGTTCAGTTTCGTTTCAAGGTGTTCCTTCGCATGCCTAAACCCTAAACCCTAAACCCTCTACCCTATAACCCTAAACCCTATAACCCTAAACCCTAAACCCCTGGGGTTCCAAGTTCAGTTCCGTTTCAAGGTGCTCCTTCGCATGCTGCAGCTGGTAGAGTCGCTGACCAGCTCATGGGCTCCTGGGCGGAGAGAGAAGCCTTAAACCCTAAACCCTAAACCCTAAACCCTAAACTAAACCCTGAACCCTGAACCCTGAACCCTGAACCCTGAACCCTGAACCCTGAACCCTGAACCCTGAACCCTGAACCCTGAACCCTGAACCGGGGCGGAGGGCCATGTAGGGCTTAGGTTTTATAGTATACAGGGTCTAGGGTGCCTGCACTTTTTCTTTCCTGGGTGTCCTTCTTGAGGGGATCATACTGCATTTGGGTGTGCAGGTTTTTGTTTTGGGCTTTGGGTTTAGGGCTCAGTAAGTTAAGACAGGAGCTTAGGTTTTTGTGTCGGGGCGTTTATAAGAACAATGCAACCAGCTATGCCTATAGTTACCCTGCTGAGAGCCCCAGTATCAGCACAGGTGAACCTCCAAGCGCGTACTATTTCCCAAAATCGAGCACAAACACTACCCTCCCTCTACCCCCCCCCCCCTATCATCACCACGAATCGCCCAAGCATGAGCTTGGATTTGTTGATGTTTTGCCACAAAGCCCAACACCCAATCCTAAGCCATTCAGCACCTTAACTGCTGCCGCCAAGAGGCTGGAAACCCTAAACCCCATACCCTAAACCCCAAACCCTAAACCGCTCTATCACATATAATATAGATGTTAATGACTTTGCGGGCAAGGTCCGAAAAGTAGCGGGCAAGGTCCGAAAATCAGTGGGCAAGGTCCGAAAATCAGTGGGCAAGGTCCATTGGCTGCCCCACGACCTTGCCCACTGATTATCGGACCTTGCCCGCTAACCCACGACCTTGCCCACTGATTTCCGGACCTTGCCCGCTTATTTCGGACCTTGCCCACTAATTTGCGGACCTTGCCCACTAATTTTCGCACCCGGGCAAGGTCTGAAAATTAGTGGGCAAAGTCCCAAAATTAGCGGGCAATGTCCGCAAGGTCCGAAAATTATTAGCGGGCAAGGTCCGAAACTTTGTGGAAAAGGTCCGAAAAGAGCGGGCAAGGTCCGAAAACTAGTGGGCCCCCCCCCCCCCCCCACCCCCCTTTTGGGTCATTCTCAAAGCCACTGGCTGGCATGAGGCGCGAAGAAAGGAACTTAGGGGGTTCAGGCTGAGGGTTCTAAGAGGATTGAAGGTTCAGGGGCGAGAGCGTAGGGTTTAATTGGGGCTAAGAGTTTGGGTTGCGTGTGAAACTTTTGATTATCTTGATGGTATGGGATTCTCTGGGTGGGTGGGTACTTTTCTGGCGCTTGAAGGGCTGCTAACCTAGTGAATGCTTGAACTTTGAGATGCTGAACCCTAAACCCCTAAACCCCTAAACCCTAAAACCCTAAACCCTAAACCCCAAACCCTAAACCCTAAACCCTAAACCCTAAACCCTAAACCCTAAACCCTAAACCCCAGAAAACCCTAAACCCCAAAGCTGAAGTGTCCTCCATCCCACCGAGGTTCTTCAGCTTGTGCTGGGCTTCCTTGGCCGCTTACCTTTCAGGATATACGCCTAGAGGGCTCAGGGACCCTTATTTGGGTTTAGGGTTTAGGGTTTAGGGTTTTAGGGTTTTAGGGTTTTAGGGTTTTAGGGTTTTAGGGTTTTAGGGTTTTAGGGTTTTGGGTTTTAGGGTTTTTAGGGTTTTTAGGGTTTTGGGGTTTTAGGGTTTTAGGGTTTTGAGGGTTTTAGGGTTTTAGGATTTGAGGGTTTTAGGGTTTTAGGGTTTGAGGGTTTTAGGGTTTTAGGGTTTTAGGGTTATAGGGTTTGAGGGTTTTAGGGTTTTAGGGTTTTAGGGTTTTAGGGTTTTAGGTTTTTTTGGGTTTTGGGGTTTTAGGGTTTTAGGGTTATAGGGTTTTAGGGCTTTAGGGTTTGAGGGTTTTAGGGTTTTTTGGGTTTTGGGGTTTTAGGGTTTTAGGGTTATAGGGTTTTAGGGCTTTAGGGTTTGAGGGTTTTAGGGTTTTAGGGTTTAGGTTTTAAGGGAAGCCCCCAGGCCTATCCCTCAAAGTCCTATATCGTGAACTCCCAAACCCGACAACCCTAAACCCCCGCCTGCGAAACCCAATCTCAGGAAGCGCCCTGGCTTACGCCTACACCTTCTTCTGCGCGGGCACCATTTGGGGCTGCACTGTGGTCATCATGCAAAGGCCCATAGGGTCAGGGCCCACTTCCTTTGTTTCTCTTTTGGGTCGCCGAGTCGCTAATACTTAGTGAGCCCAACTTCGATTGAAGCCGATTGAAGCGGGTTCGTGTTCAATCGGGCCAGGCCGCGATTGAAGCCGATTGAGTTTCGATCGATGGCCGGACTCAAGTATCAAGGCTCACGAATCCTCAGATGTTATGAAGTCTCGTAAGGTTTCGAGGTGTCAACACGACTACTTACTTGGCTGAAGATTTGTCCAGCAGTGCGAAAGTACTCTTTTCATTCCGACAGGGATGTGGAAACTCATGCTTTGCGTCCGCATACGCATGCTCAGCACCCGAAGAAAGCGTCCAGTAGCTCAAGTTGGAGACTCGGCATGGATACGGCTTGCCAGAAACCCCTTAATCTTCAGCAGAGGGGTTTAGGGGTTTAGGGTTTAGGGTTTAGGGTTTAGGGTTTAGGGTTTAGGGTTTAGGGTTTAGGGTTCACAAGTTTCCAATACTTTCGAGCTCAGACCGAAAACTTCTCAACGGGTTTTGCCAGCATCTTCACCCTGCACTGGTCGGTTGCCATCAAGTGCAGCACTTTTGAGTTCCTGCCGCTGAAGACCCTGAAGAAAACGGTGCGTCCTTTTGTGGACGTGGCAATGGTTTGCTCGTTTGGCATTTTTTTTTGTTTTGGGAGGGGGGGGGGGGGGGGTGGTTGGGGATGGGCTCTTGGTCTTCAGCACTTTGCCACCCCTGGCAGCTAGAAACCACGTGCTGCATCTTCAGCCCTTATACGAGGGATCCAACGAATGGAGCCCCTCCAAAAGAAAGCAGCAGTCCATTCGCTAAAACCCAGGAATCATCGGAGTCTCCAATTTTTTGATCACCTAGAATGACCGAAAGCAGCTTGAAAAACCGAAACATTCCTGGGTCTTCACCCCTGACACAACTAACCCTAAACCCAAACCCAAATGCCTAAACCCCAAATTTCCTGGCCCTGACGCAGCTACTCGCCGACCTGGCTCGTGATCTTCTTCTTTGTGTTCGCTCTGCAGCTTAGGGGTACTTGGAAATATTTTTTAATTTCTGGATACTATAAATTCTCAAAACATTGGGTTTAGGGTTTAGGGTTTAGGGTTTAGGGTTTAGGGATTAGGGTTTAAAATCCAATTTCTGCTGGGGTTCCAAGTTCAGTCGAGGCTGGTGTTGCAAGCCTGGTTCTTCTTCGGGAAGCGGCCGAAGCGAAGCTGTAGCTGCAGGCTGACCGTGAGGGTTTAGGGTTTAGGGTTTAGGGTTTAGGGTTTGAGGGTTTGAGGGTTGAAGGGTTTAGGGTTTAGGGTTTAGGGTTTAGGGTAAACTCCAAAGGCTGGAGGGGTATTCTAAACAATGCCGTACTACCCGCCATGCAGGCAGATGCCACAATCCGGAGAATCAAACAGACCACTCAGACTACAAATTGCTTAAGAACCCCCCCCCCCAAAAAAAAAGCTCCCCCTTATATGGTGTTTTGTGTTTGTTTGTGTTTTATTTTTTGGGGTTCTTCAGCAAATAGTAGCAGAGCCTCTGGAAATCATGTTCCCAAGACTGGTGTGGACCGGCCTGGCGCCGCAAGCAATGATGAAGCCCTGCTACCCAAAACCCTGCAACCCTAAACCCTAAACCCTAAACCCTAAACCCTAAACCCTAAACCCTAAAGCACCTCTTTCCTCTTTGATGTGCATCACGAGATTCGGGCAAAAGAGGTCACGCCTAGACCCCAAACGCCAGCAGCAACTCTCAGACCCCAAATTCCCCATCGTCTCATACACCCAATATAGGCCCTAGACAAGTAAAGATGTTGAGCCCTAAGTCCTAAACCCTAAACCCTAAACCCCAAACCCTAAACCCTAAACCCGAAATGAGGCCCAAGCAAGCCCCAGGATCCTAAAATCCCAACAGTCCTCACAAGCTCGCCACACGCCCTAAACCCGAAACTCTGTAAACCTTCAACCTCAAAATGCCCCTTGTAATTGCATCCAACCCTTCCCCTAAACCCAAGACCTTAGACCGAAACCCTACACCCTAAACCCTACATCCTACACCCTAAACCCTAAACCCTAAACCCTAAACCCTAAACCCTAAACCCTAAACCCTACACCCTGCCCACCTCACCTCCAGCCACCTCAACCCTCCAGGTGCCTCGAGCCCGTCGGCGGAGATGACACCAAGCCCATGCTCGGTTTGCGCTGCTATCCGGAGGGGGACTGAGGGTTTAGGGTTTAGGGTTTAGGGTTTGGGGTTTAGGGTTTAGGGTTTAGGGTTTAGGGTTTTGGGGCCAGCCTCCAAAACCCGACCCCAAAGCAGGGTCTGGGTTTGGAGGTTTAGGGTTAGGAAAAGTGCGGGTTTAGGGTTTAGGGTTTCGTGCTCGAGTTCAGGATACAACGACACGTCTCAGAGCAGCGAAACGGCGCTCCGGCCGGGCCGGAAAAGGGGGCCTAGGGGGCGGCTGGAATTCGCGTTTAGGGTTCAGAGTTTAGGGTTCAGGGTTTAGGGTTCAGGGTTTAGGGTTCAGAGTTTAGGGTTCAGGGTTTAGGGCTTGGGGTTAGGGCTTTCAGAGGAGACGTAGAGTCGCATGCTTGAGATGACTGAGCCCTGATCCTGAAGCTCAACACCCCAAATCACATCTTAGACTCTTAACCTGAGCCCAGATGACTTGGTAACCAGTGGCACCCTTTACCCTTTCTTGCCTTGGTTTAGGGTTTAGGTTTAGGGTTTGGGGTTTAGGGTTTAGGGTTTAGGGTTTAGGGTTTAGGGTTTAGGGTGAATATGATGGTTACTGGGCTACCAAGACGAGCTCTTCGGTGGCTGCCACCGGTGGATACGCTCTTCCATTTCATGGCTTGGGGCTTCAAGGCTGCTACTTGTAAGGTTAACCCTAAACCCTAAACCCTAAACCCTAAACCCTAAACCCTAAACCCTAAACCCTGAACCCCGAACCGGGGTGTTTTCGGGTAACGCAGGGTTCTCCGCAAGATGCTTTTCCCGAAGCCCTAAACGTCCCAGGGCCCCAAACCCTAAGCCCAAAACCCTAGCTGTAAGGCCAAAATGCTTAAGCCCGCAAACCCCAAACCCTGCAAGCCCTAAACCGCCTACCCCTGCACCTTATTTCTATTTCTATTACGATTACTTTTCGTATTACTATACTATGAAGAATGTGATTGCTATATTGCTATCCTTATTAGCCCTAAACCCCCTACGCCTCCACCCCAAACCTCGCCAAGAAGCCCAAAACCCCAAAAACATCCGGAGCACCTCAGAGTCGATCTTGCGCGCACCCTATACCCTAAACCCGAAGCCCCAAACCCTAAACCCTGAACCATGAACCCTAAACCCTGAACCATGAACCCTAAACCCTAAACCCTAAACCCTAAACCCTAAACCCTAAACCCTAAACCCTAAACCCTAAACCCTAACCTAAACCCTAAACCCTAAACCCTAAACCCTAAACCCTAAACCCTAAACCCTAAACCCTAAACCCTAAACCCTAAACCCTAAACCCTAAACCCTAAACCCTAAACCCTACACTTCAGATGCCGCAAAGTTTATCGGCTCGAGCTGCGTCGGGCCGTGGCTGCACTGGACTGGATGACGGGCGACTCGCTGTCTCGCCCCTTTGCCGAGTTCAGGGCTTCCTGGGGCTTTGTGCGGGCTTCTGGGTGGCCCAGTGGTACCCTTATTTGGGTTTAGGGTTTAGGGATTAGGGTTTAGGGTTTTAGGGTTTGAGGGTTTTAGGGTTTATCTAGGGTTTTACCCTTTTTGGGGTTTTGGGTTCCCTTACAAAGTAACCAATCCCAAAAAGGGTAGCCGTGTTGAGGCTTTGGGGTTTAGGGTGTAGGGTCCAGGGTACCAAGTTAGGTGCCCCTTTAGGTCTCAGATTCTCAATGTTAGCCCCGAGATTTGGGCGACCTCTATGATTTGTGCTTTAGTGGTGTAGGGGCCATAGTCAGACGGCCCACTAGCGTGTGCACCATAAACCCCTTTGTACATGATATATATATATATATATATATATGTACATATATATATACACACTAGTATAACAAATATATATATATATATATAATATATAATATATTATAATATAATATAATATAATATATAGATATATATAATCCGCACAGTGAGAACCCTGAGGCCTTGGGAGACTCCGAGAAAACCCGAGGGGCCTGAGAGCTCCAAATCTTCCAGCGGGCTTAGGGTTTGGGGTTTAGGGTTTGGGGTTTGGGGTTTACGGTTAGGGGGCTTTGAGGGCTTAGGGGGCTTAGGGGTCAGGGGCATCAGGGTTTAGGGTTTAGCGTTTATAAACATTAGGGTTTAGGGTTTGGGGTTTAGGGTTTAGGTCTCTATAAGGGTTAGGGGGCTTACGGGGGGTTAGGGGGCTCAGGTTGTTGAGGGGGCTTCGGGTGTTGGTGTCGGCCCTAAACCCTAAACCCTAAACCCTAAACCCTTTTGCATGGCAGGAGTCGTACCGGCCCCTCCGGACGAGCCAGCCATCCCTCCAAAGGAGGTGGAGGAGCCTCGGCAGTCAATGTTTTAGGGTAGTTACATGGTCCCTTAGTATGGGTTTAGGGTTTAGGGTTTAGGGTTTAGGGTTTAGGGTTTAGGGTTTAGGGTTTATAGGGTTTATAGGGTTTATAGGGTTTATAGGGTTTATAGGGTTTATAGGGTTTATAGGGTTTATAGGGTTTATAGGGTTTAGGGTTTAGATTTAGGGTTTAGGGTTTAGGGTTTAGGGTTTAGGGTTTAGGGTTTAGGGTTTAGGGTTTAGGGTTTAGGGTTTAGGGTTAGGGTTTAGGGTTCAGGTTTCAGGGTTTAGGGTTTAGGGTTAAAAGGGTTCCCCTTTACAACTCCGTTTCTACCCTGTTTGAGACCATCTTCAGGGCTCATAAAACTACCCTCAGAGTCCAGGGGGGTTGAAGGCTGAGAGGGGTCGAGGGTTTCCGGGTTTCCGGTTCGAATTTTTGTGTTTTGGGGTTGAGGGGTTTACGGGCTTTGAGTCCTCCACCGTATTCCTAAGCCCTAGACCCCTAAGAATTGTATGATTGTTTCCCCGAAATAGGTATATGACTGTTTTAGGATGGGGGGGGGGGTTCTCCAGCTGGGGTGAGTCAGCTAGGACTAGGCACGCCTATCGCCCAAGATACTCCCGCCATACCCCATCATAGCATACTCGACAGTCATATATCTTATCTACTCTCCCCGCAAAAGGTTGTATCATCCCCCAAGTAGATAGAATTTGTGGTATGTTGGGTGGTTCGGGGCTTGAATTCTCAGCGCTTTCCGTGTCAATCGCAGTCTTCATGCACAAAGCCTTGCCCCGTTTCCCACCCCTACATGCGACTGAACCCTAAACCCTAAACCCTAAACCCTAAACCCTAAACCCTAAACCCTAAACCCTAAACCCTAAACCCTAAACCCTAAACGTTTGAGGCTCTCAAGGCTCCGGGTCCCATCGACGATGACGACGACGATGACGACGACTGCAGCACCAAAGACATCCTGCAGTTCTCCACCGCGCCGCCTGGCGTTTAGGGTTTAGGGTTTAGGGTTTAGGGTTTAGGGTTTAGGCTTTAGGGTCTAGGGTTTAGGGTTTAGGGTTTAGGGTTTGGGGTTTAGGGTTAGGGTCCCAAGCCCTGGAACTCCTATAAACCTTAAACTCAGGGTTGCACTGTAGCGTGCTAGGGCATTTGGGCATGATGAGGTCTACAGGGTTTTTGTTGGCGTGCTCTTACTGGCTCTTCGTAGAATTAGATACCTTATAGAATCCCCTTCAAGGGTGCATTCGCGGGAGTGGAAGGACCCTAAACCCTGGGCCCTAAACCCTAAACCCTCAACCCTCAACCCTCAACCCTCAACCCTCAACCCTAAACCCTAAACCCTAAACCCCCATTCCTACTAAGAGCCACCTGAGGGCCGGTCAATGTAACACACCATGCTCCCCTTGAAGCGGACTTGACAGATTGAGGTGGAATACTTTAAACGCGAAATCCTACAGATACGGGGGTTTCCGCAATTCGGTGTGTTTTTTAATGGGATCTTGATGATCAGGGACTCCTACTATTTGGGGGTCTATCTTACGGGGTCCCCTATTTTCGTAAACCCCGAATATAGAGGTTGGTTGAAAGTCTGAGCTCTTCGCCCTACCTTACGATAGCCTAAACTCCTTGTGGCAACCGCTACCCTAAACCCGGCCCTGTGAAGCCTCAATCCTTGACCCTAAACGGGCATAAGACTCACAAGACAGGAAACCCCAAACTTCCTAAACCCCAAACCCTAAACGGCCTACCCTAGACCCCAAAGTCCAAAACCCCAAGCAACGATTCCTACATGAACATCTGAAGCAGCTAACGCGGCTCCATGGAAGGAATGGGTTCAGGTTGCTAAACCCTAAACCCTAAACCCTAAACCCCAAACCCCAAGCCCTAAACCCTAAACCCTAAACCCTAAACCCTAAACCGTTAGGCTTTAGGATGTCGGGGTTTAGAGCTGAGGGTTTAGGGTTCATAAGGATGCGTCATGCTCCTCAAGCCTTGGTCTTTTCCGGGCCCTAAACCCTAAACCCTAAACCCTAAACCCTAAACCCTAAACCCAGTTTGGGGGGGTTCGGGGCTTGGTGGGCTCAGTGGTGTCCGTGCTTCTGGGTTTTTTGGCGTTTAGGGGTTCGTAGGTTCAGCTGTTTCGGGATGAGTGGTTTAGGGTTTAGGGTTTAGGGTTTAGGGTTTAGGGTCGGGCTAGGGCTGGCCTGGTCGAGGTTGTTTTCCCAAACCTTACGGCCAAAACTCTCCTCACTCCCCACACAGCGATTCAGTCTTCCGTTCCTGAGGATCTACTTCGTGGAGGAAAGTGAAGCTTGGAGTTGTTGCGAATGCCTTTTTATGCCGTTTTCGTTGTTACTTAGAATGGTGTTAGGAAGGGCAAAGGCAATAGGCAGAACAAGCGCTGCTTGTTGAGTCTATCTCGGCCCCTCACATCCCAGAAAGACCTTAGCAGCTGAATGAGTACACGTTACACTTTTTGGGATACTATAATCCCCTGTGACAGTGGACACGGGGGTTTACGAACATAGGGGACCCCTAAAGTACACCCCCAAATAGTAGGATTCCCTTATAATGCACCCTAATTTCGGAAACCCCCAAAACACACTTTACGCTTTTTTGGATACCCTACACCCTCAACCCTAAACCCTAAAGTGCACTTTTTGGGGGCTT